TACCATGCTGCTTATTTATTGGGGAGGGGTTTTGTTAAATGTTCGGTCTTTGGTTTGTTTTTTTTTCCCCCCCCTCAGAAGAGATGGACCACCACACACTGAAAGAGCTATCCTCAGGCAACAACGCAGGAAGAACTCTCCTGAGGACATAACAAAGGCTCTGTGTGTTCTCACATATTAGAGCCAAGAAATCTGCCCATGCTGAAGGTATTCTTTCCTACTTCAGAAGACAGCATTAATTAAATGTTGGTATACAGGATTTCTAATAAGTTGCATCCTTCTGGTTGTTTATTTTCTGACACTATAAACATTTTCACAATAGGATAGTGTTGTCAGTGACTAGAATCTTTACAGTTTCTGAAGTTGCAAGAGCCTGGAAAAAAGACAGAACTTTAAAAAAAGAAAACTTAATGTTTTATTTAGCTTAAAAAACAAACAAAAGATCCATAGTTATTTCCATTTTTCCCCCAACCAAAATAGAGCTACTCAAAGTTGACAAAATTCACTGCCTAAAAAAAGAAAGATCAAAGGCAGTGTCAATATTTAAAGTGATTTTTCTAGTCAGCTACACCAGTTTTATGCCATATGTTCAGTTGAAAGCCAGAAGCTATGACACCTACAGCTGTTCTGCCATTTAACATCTGATAAGCTTGTGTTCTTTTTAACAGAGTTATATTTGGCTTCAGACAGAGCTGTAAAATGATACCTCTCCATCCAATACAACCTACTCCAGCCTTCTCAGAAATGGTCTGCTAATCACTTTCACAATCGTATGGTTGATGTGCAGGGTCTTTAAGGCTGGCCATCATCTACAGCAGCCAGTGACGTGAGGTGGCCAGGCTGGGTCAGTAATGGCAGCACTACAGTTTGCCACATGGTACAAACACAACACAACCAGCAAGAACACAGGAATTCTGGATCTTCAGAGTTTAGTGGATCACCTTCCACATAGGTGTCTTATAAGGTAGTCTGTTCACAGGCTGGCAATAACTGGACTTCAGAGCTCTCCATTTTAAACTCCTGCATATCTAAAACCACCGTTTCACCAAGTCAGTTGAGTTTCAAACTTAACAGATGTCCAAGCAGATCAGGACAGATATATCAAAACCCCTAAATCACACCAAGTAAAGTATCCTATTGTTCTCTCTCTTTATTCAAGGAAACAAAATATCTGTCAACCTTCCTGCTACAGTCTAAAGCTATTTCTCTGGTCTAGTGACAAGGGCATTCAAGGGTAGGGAGAAAATTCAGGTTCTGGCCCTGCCCTCAAGATTGCTTGTGCATTTTATCAGATGAAATTCAGGAGGAATAGCAATCATCTTCCTCTGTCAGCTGTAAGTGTTGTGCTTTGCACTGATCTCAGCTTGTGTCAGACATGCTCCAAGGACACCCACTGATCTGGCTCTTGCATGGCTTTATGAACCACCCAGTGGTATAAGGTGAAAACAGAAGCGTTGAAATGCCTTTTGGCATTTATATGGTTAGAAACATATTTGCAAATTTTAAGTGTCTGCTCTGCAAACACTCAGCCTAAATACACCTTACGTACTTGAATGCTTTCTTACAGCTGAGCCTAACTTTCTCCTGGTCGACTGCTGAGAGCAAATTTTAGATCCAGATTGCCATAAAGTACAACAGACCTTGCTAATACAGAAAAAATATTCAAAATGTAAATAAAATACACTAACAATTTGGTGGCAATTTCTTTAAATCACATAACTGATGGCAGGATGGTATTTATAGTAATGAGGACATGAGAAGAGAAGTTTGCAGGCAGAAGTAATAACTTTTATTAGAACAACTAGAATAATTGGAAAGTTGAGTACATTTCTGGTCTTGCAAGCCCCTCCTTGGACACACAAGTTTTCCCCGGTCTACTAACTGGGGATATAAAAGATACTATCTCTGTCTACTAGACTTGCTTTATTCCATAAGGCACCTTCATCAACTGAAGAATGGTACCTCAATGTCCCAAGACGTATTTCATTGCAACTAGAGTAGTATTTCAAGTAGAATAAAACCTAACCTTAGTTTTTATTCCTAAAGGCACTTTTTAACTGTTGCCAAATCTGTGTATGACATGCTTGTAACAACTGGCAATACAGGTTAAACTGCACTTTAAATAGGGATTAGGTACGAGGCCAACAAAGAATTTATTCTTTCAGCGCTTCGTGTGCTGAAAGACAGACTGACATATAGCTTAACTACATACAATCTGTCCTCAAGGTCAGCCAGCACATGGTTTCTCAGCTGATTGACATTTTAACCCCCCCCTTCCAGTATAAAAGGTAGTTTTAACTTTTCAGGCAAACTGGGGGAAAAAAACAACCTTCTGCAGTAATAATTCTCAAATTTAGGCATTTACTTGTTGTTCCCATCACAACAAAAACATTAAAACCAAAGAAGAATAGAAAGGCAGGGAGCATATTCAGTATTTATGCTGAAGCTGTATTTTCTTATCCCTTGTGCTAGGGCAAGTCCTTGTTTTAGAAGTCTGCATAATTTAAACCGGAATTATTTAGGCAATTAACAGGTTCTGTCTGTGTGGTGATAACAATTTCTCCCTTATCACAAATCCCCATCTACAAAAATAGACTGCAAGAGTCTGGAGACTTTTTTTTTTTTTGCTAGAATAAGAGAAGACAGAGCACTCCTGAACAGTTAAATTTGCACTTTACTGAAATAAAATACAACTTTATCTTAACAGCAGGCCTTAGTCCTTTCTGAACAAGTGGACTACTCTTAAAAAAGCAATCAGATGTTATATAGTGCTCCAAAGAGCGTATCTGTTAACATATGTTTATACAGTTGTTATACTGACATTCTGAAACAGAATTCTCTCTAATTTTAGATTCAATATAAACAGCCAAGAAATGCTCTGTCTTTATCACCAACTTCATCTTACTGAACATATACTTACAGAGAGCATTTACTTCAGATTACACTGGGCATAAGTCAACAGACTTCTGTTTGCAAAACAGCAACTACTACTTCTAGGCTTCACTCTATTTCACCATTTTTCATGTATTAAGCTTCAGAGTGTTTCTCGTAATTGCTGAGTGACCCAGTAATATCCCACTGAAAGAATTTGAGACCATATTAGAAATCCTTGGCCATTCAATCTTTTCAGGTTTCCTGTACAATCTTGTTGCATAGTTTTTTTAATTGAATTAAGTGTGGGTTTAAAAAACAAAGTGAAACGTACTTCTTCCCACATGAGTTTCTGCAATGGATAACTACATCATTAACACATGAATTTAGGTGCCTGATTAGTTTCAGAACAGAATTCAAGCTAAGGAAAAAAAAGTTCTTTCTTCACCCTTGTGACTTCTCTTCCCCCACAGCACACAACGCCTACAATGCTTCTCACATCAACAGGCACAGAAGATACAGTGCATTTTCTCCTCTACAAGAAAGGAGATCAGAATCTTCCACTGTGGCAGTTCTGGAGCTGACACTTCCACTGAGCCTGGGAATACCGTTGGTTGCTGTCTATGCTTAAGAAAACATATCTATTAATGCTGCAATTTGTAATATCTATTTTGTACAGAGAAGACTGAAGATCAAAGCAGATTTTCAAGTCAAACAAGTCACCTTCTATACAAAACTCAACATTCAGGAAACTTGAGGTCCATGACAACCTCTTACCAGTTTTCTCCACTTTGCTTTGGTATAAAGACATTGCAATTAAAGGTTGCATATGTTTGATGCATTAAGCTCATACTGATGAAGTTAGATAAAACCATTCCCCCTTGCCTGTACATTTGCCCTGCCTGTCATGGAAGTCAGGATCCATCTCATTTCAGATGTATACAAAGATTTTATTGTGGCAAACAAGTAGTTTCACTGAGACATCCTAATAACACTAGTACATATGCCATCAATTTGAGAAGCATAGAAAGAATCTAGATTCAAAGCAGCTCTTTTGAACTATTCACAGCAAAGCAGTTCTGAGGCACACTGAACAATCGGTTGTCCCATTCTCTCTCATTCTGATCCCATACCTATTCCTTAAAATACAACTTAATTACATTGCTGCCAATAGTTGGAAGCAGTCACAGCAAGAAAAGTGGAAAGAACAACTTGGGCAACGATTGGAGAGCAAGAGAACAGGAAACTCAGTAGTAAGAACTGTGACACTGTAAACTGGGAACTTGGCTCAATAATGAGCACTACAAAAGTAAACTACTTGACTTTACTGCCTATGAACATTGTCATTTGATTATTAAATTCTTGGATGTACCAAGCTCAGAGACAGTTCAGCCCTCCTAATGCAGTGTCCAAACAACTGCACAAAGAATTGCTCATGGTCAAGTTCAAGGCCTAATGTGAACTGTCTTCAACTGGGCAAATGTTTAAACATATAAGTGGGTCATTAATCATTACACCTTGACAGACTGTCATCCTTAATAATCCCAAAGTGCTTTGTAACTTATGGCACAGAACTGCAGCTACCATGAGGCTCTTGGGTAGCTGCCAACTGTTGCTTATCGCGCTATGCTGCATGGATAGGAAATGCTGGCTTCTGATACTGTAGTAAATCCCTGGGAGGCTTTTGATGCCTTCACAAGGGCGCATTTTAGTTCATCCCAAGGACCCACACATAATAGATTGAGTATGTTTTGCTCAAAGAGAGGAACTAGACTCTACATACTCTGTGGAATTTTGAACCTCTCATTCTTAGCAGCTAGTGTTTCATACCTGATTAGCTCATCCTGCAGACAAACCATCACAATCAGACTACATTGCCTAAGGTACCCAAGAGAGACCAAACTCTTGTAATCAACTATTTACAAAATTTAAAAAACACATACAAGACAATATATCAAATAGGAAATCAAATATGGTATAACAGGAAGAAATCAAGAGCTTCACCCTGAGAAAGGATATAACCTGTAACAGTTAATTCCATATATATTGGCCTAATTCCATAGGAATCTAAGTGCTTTGCCAGTCAAATGCTCTAGCTTGTTTCCCCTCTCCTTAAAATAGACACGTACCCTGCACAGATCCTCTTCTTGGCCATATCTCCAGTTTTTCAGATCTGTGTATTTCTCCATCAGTCAGAGGCTTGGGGAAGAAAAGTGAGATTGAGCAAAGCAGCTGGAGCACATGTAAGGGGATTGCTGCAAAATTACCATAGAATTTTTTTCCTGCATATAGCCCTCAATAATAAAAAAAAAACCTCTGTCCATTACTAAATTTGTAGGCACTGTGAATTACAATAACAACTTATAATTATGTGATAAGAAATTTATTTAGAAATTTAAAATAGTATAAACTATGAATTTATAATAATTTATAGTTTTCCCAAATTAGTTTGCACAATAAAAACAGCCTCCATATTGTATTTGTTCCACCATACTACAAAGATAATTTTGTATTTGATTTTAAAACAGATAGCAGTGTTTAACCTCTTCAATGGTCAATATTCTTCCTCATCCATGAGTCACTTTAGTTACCTTCTTCTGAAATACAAAGGTATCAACCATTGCTAGAAAATGATTCAAGAACTAGGTAGAGAACTCCTGCATAAAATGAAAATCCTACCTACTGCAGCTGTACTGCAGCAGACAAGAAAAGTTAGTTCTCTCTACTTTGTTTCAAGATCAGCAAGAAAATAAGTGGGAAAAAGTTGAGCTGTTGTGAGGTACCTATAAAAAAAAAGTAGGTCAAGCTTAAAAGTTTGACCTACTGATCTTCTTTGCTTTGGCAAAAGTACAAATGGATTTTACATAATGCTGCTCACATGTAAATGCTGGCTGGAAACTAAAGGATGCAAATGTTTTTAATAAGCCTCGGTCATTAACAAGATTTTTTTATTATTATTTCAAACAGTTTTAAATCTTTGTTTTGTGGCACATACTATCGAATCCTTATTTTTAAGATTCATATATTTAAGTCACTCTTGTGTTAATCTCAGTGTCATATTGTGGAACAAATGTAATACACACGCCTAAAATCAGTTCTAAGTTGATTTAAAAAATCATCACTGTTAGTGAAATGCAGATAGTCCCTGAAGCGACAAAGCTGAAGTCTCAACAAGGCACCTTTCCCGCATTTCATACTGTCTATAAAGCAGATTTACAACCACATACTTCTTAAGTAAAGCATAGGATGGACAGAAAACAAATCTGTATCTGCACATACTGAATATAATTTAGTTCTATAGTAACTGTACATACTGCTGTAAAGTAAACACTTTAAAGAAAAAGTTATTCCAAATACCTGAAACTCAAGTACCTTAGCAAAAACACCTACTATCAGGAAAGACAAATTAAATACCTGTTATTTGTAGGTTTTTCCCCTCTGTTTAATAAAGTAAAACTACGATAAGAAACAAAAGTTAAAAAAAAAAGTCAAATTAAAGCTTTGCTTTAATTGCCAACAGAAGCTTCTATGATAAAGATACCACTTCTATTTTACAGAGGAAGAAACTGAAGTACTACCACAACAACTTTTCAACATCCAAAGTCAGTCGTGCAAGATGCTAGGTTTGAAAGTGAATACAAGTTACTGGCTCCCAGAGCTGTACTCCATAATCAGGTATTTCTTATCTAATTCTTCAACACTAATTAGAGAATGAGGAATTCAACAGGATTTAGTGGGAGGCAAACTAATAGTTTTGTACCTTCACACACTAAAGAAGAAACAAAACGTTCACCTAATTGAAGCAGTATTAATTGGTATTTGTTAAAATCAGATGTAAAATATCAGTTCCTCTATGGACAAAAACAATCATCTCTCTCATCTCTGCTCTGGCAGGCTCAAATAACCAAGCTGACACAGCTCTCTTTCATGAGATTCTTCCTACACATAAAATAGTTCCATATGTTTAAATGTTGAGTGGTTGAGCAAGTACAAAATTAATTCATTACAACAATGCCTTACTATTAATTTTTCTTGTGCCTTAAGGCCTGGTCAATTACAGAACCCAAACACAATTCAAACACTGTCATATTTTTACATCCACTTGAAAGACATCTACTGTCACAAAGCGGAACACAAATGTTAATTTTAAAGATGGCACTGACACTCCCAGTCCAGGCACACCTATTAACAGACTGCTCTTGTTAGAGTATTCAGATTATATAGGGTTTAGATTTGCCAGCCCTTACTAGTTCTTCTTTGGGTTTTGTATTGTTGGTTTTAAGGCACTGGCAACATCTCCAAAATGCTAGTACTGTTAGCAGTGCCTGCATCTTACAGCAGGTCCTAATCCCCTCATTGTTCAGATCAGCAACATATCACAGAGCACCACCTTTCCCTCCTTGCTCATGCATCTGCAGGCATCTACCAAAAGGAAAGTGTTTTCCTAGAAATTATGTTCCAGAACCTAATTTTAACACTCTGATGTTCAGATGGCTTTGGAGATTGCTTTTCAGCAGTCACTTCTTTCTAGGGCATGACGGCACGTAATTCTTCATTCTCTGTATCATTAACCCTCTCCCTTTTTTTGTGTGTGTATTCTTAGCATGCAATCCAAACAGGTTCATGAAAATGCAAATAACTTCTCCTGTCACGGTCACTACATGATAAAGCACAAAAAACATTAGGAAAAAGTATTGCTTCCCATCACATCCCATCATTCTCTACTGAGAAGAACTGGGAGGCATGCTGTGTTTTGAGTATATTGCAAGGTGTTTAACAAGTGATCACCAGAACCCTTTTACAGACAGTTTTTGAAAAGCCAACTATCCATACATCAAAGAAACAAAACACTATCTATTTCAGTGGACAGCACAATGATTGCTCTATACTATGATTCTTTCACAGAGGAGCACTGTACATGAACAGTTTCTCAGCACAGGCCCTAAAGGGCAGAAGTAACTGGTAATACGCCATACTGACTTTTACATATCACTACTTTTTGAGCAGACAACTGCATTTAGAACAATAGTGCTAGCTGGAATTCAAGTTTATACCCTCTTTTAAGTTGTTGATGCTTTATTCCATTCTATCTATTCTATTCAGAAATACTGGTTCATTCAAGTACCTTCATGTGGTCTTTGGTTTATTCCATGTATAGTAGCTCCAAGTAGAGAAAAATATTTCAGTGGCAATATGGTCTCAAGCTCAGCAGGAGCCAGGAATCACTGCTTGGTCCTATCATCTGTGATAGTTCATTAAGCTGATCCCAACAAAGCTACAGCTCCTGTTGGAACTGTGGAGCAAAATTCCTCAGGAAGAGCTATCACATGCAGAGGAATAACACTGAACAGCAGTAATTTGCCACTTAGTACTAGATAACTTATTTCACAGGAGCAGGGAGTCAACTGCCTCAGGAGGAAGGGCCTGCTGGGTCTAGCTTGCTCTTCTGTAAGGCCATAGATACCACTGAGAATCATACTTCACAAATAAAAATGCAACTGAGTACACAAGCCCAAGAACTACACATAGTATTCAGAAGATACACAGAAAGGCAGCATTTGTAAAAAAATCAGACAATTTAAAATAAGTGACATGTTGTATATTCACAATTTACTATCATACTGTTACTGCACAGCATGGTACGGAAGGCAGTTGAAATGAAAAGTATAGCAAGCGACCTTGATGCTTATGTCACTGATGCAAGATGAAATTGGAAGCTCTGCTGAACACTAGTATCACCCAAGTCTGCACTGTTGTGCATATGCTGAGTGGCCTGGCCATAACTTTGTACTGTGTGTCCCATTGTGATATATGTATCAACATAAGAGGATGTGATAAATACTTGCTTTAGAAGTTACCCATCAGAGTTTAGCAGCCTTAAATTCTGACATCCATATTGACTTAATGACTGCTATAAAAAAGGTACACCGTTGTTCTGTAAATTGGAATCAAATGAACAATTATGCCACATAGGAAGGGATGACTAAGTCACATAAACAAACTGATAGCTTAGCTTTCTGAAGAGGAATTTTATTTGATTAAATTATGCTCTTGAATTATTTGACCTATCCTAAAAGCATTTCAAATTGTCAACCCTCCACATGTACAGCTTTTAACATGTCTAATGTCAATTGTGCATACTATTCATACCTTTTTCCCTAACAAAGAGTCAAGAACTGAAGCTAGAGCAACTTCTATCCCCCCTCCTCCCCTCCTGAAGACAAAATATCAAAATCATTAAAGACCCTCCCACACAAAAAAGGAACATATGGAGACAGAACTAACAGCTTTTAAAGTTCATCGCAAAAGAAGTGTAGAGATACGGGAGCAAAATTCATTACTACTGAAACCAGTGGGAGCTTAGGCATTGGCTTAAATTAAAGCCAACTCCATCCTTATTTCTCGCACAGAGTATCAGTTTGATAAGAAAAGGATGTCAGTGCAAGAATACTGAGAAGCCACTGTTTTCCAGATTGGAGTTACCAGTGTTCTGTACTTGCACAGCACAAATAATGAGAAGTCACTGAGAACTCTCTAAAAGAAAAATCCATTTAATTTTCATCTTTCCTTTACAATCTTGAAGTACAAAACACCTGAAACCAAGTTAATGAACAATTCTTACAAAACTACACACAAAAAAAAGTGCCCAATGGAGACTTGGACCCACACCTACAACAGTGTAGCTCCTCTGGCCTAAAGACAGATAAGCATCTGAAACCTTCAATGATCTCAGTTGCAATCCTTCGCTCATAATTACAATGCCGGAGAGGAATTTTAACAGCCAACATTTTTCAAATTACTATAAAACTTATCTTTAAGAGTAAGCTTTAGGAGACTAATCAGCCCTTCCTCTATATCGATTTCCCCAGAACTTAAGCTCCTTTAAAAAAAAAAAATTGAAAACAATCTAGATTTTTCAGAAAAGCATTAAAGCCACTGATTTATGTTGCTATCCAATTTAGCAGAAAATCATCATTATCTCTGGAGTAAGATGTACATATTGTCTAGCACGCAAATCAGAACAGATTTTTTTTTTTTTTTCCCTGAAACATAAGCCCAGGTTCCCAACCTTAATGGCTGTAAACAGCTCTGAATAAGCCAATGCAGTGCTGCCTTCCCAGGTTTGCCAAGACCTCCGCTCTATGCAATTCTCAAACAGCTGCATTATTGAGAAGACCAGGCTGTTTCACACTGCCTTTCAGAACCCTGAGGACAGCAGCCGAGCAAAGAAACAGTATTCCCCCCCCTTACTCCTTGGTACTAGGCTGACTTGTAGAAGCAGAATCTAGAATAATTCCCACAGGAGATGAACCAAAGAACATAGAAGTAAAGCAAAGAAATGTTTTCTTTCACGAAAATAGTTTCTTTCACCAGTGGAGAGTAGGATACTTCAAAAAAAAAAACACCACCCTACTTCTTAGTGGTACATATGGAAGTTGGATGGCTTGAACGTGGTCCAAGTATGATAGTCTGCTGAGGGTGCCTGAATCTCGCTAGCAGCTGGGACTGGGTTTACCAACAGGGCTGTGTCCTCCTATACCATACTTCTCCACAGCAGTCTCTGGGTAATGAACAGCACCCATAAAAGCATTTATCTCATAATTCAATACTACAGTGTATG